CAGCATGTAGTATTCCATATTTCGACCCGTACGGCAACGAATTCCAGCACATTCCCCCTTGCCATGATGTATGAGCTCTTTCAGCCGTTTTCCAAGTCTGATCAACACTTCCGATTTGTCCACTTCGGAATCGTATGTCCGCGTGGATCGATCATAGCGGTCCGATAAATCATAGGGCACATTCAGTGATTTAGACGCTTCAACGGCTTTGTTATAGCTCACGAACAGATACGTGCCGTATGTTGAGAACGCAAATACTGCGACCGCAGATAATGTGAGCATTTTCGGACGCACGGGCCGCGAGGCCGGAGGTATTGACGACTTCGAGGCTTCCGGGACTGGAGGGGATTTCTTTCCCGCTGTCCTAATATTCCATTCGTGTCAACTCTAGTTTGCCCGTGAAAAAAAGGAGGTAGTATATTAGGCTCGTGGGAATTCCAATGGCTTGGGTACTGGCGCAGCTATATACGCCCGGTAGTTTCGTGAAAGGGCACACACACAAAACAAAAGGCTAAAAGAGAAAGGAAGTGAGGACATAGTAGTTGGATCATACCAGCGGCCAGTCTCTACAGTCAAGGGCAATAATGTAGATATCTTTCATCATCTCACACTAACCTCCGTAGTGATGCCGCAGAGAGCAGATCAACGGGTGGCTTTCTCGCCATCGCCTGGCCGAGATGCTTTGGGCCAGCCCTGCCCAATACCTGCCTCATGCCTGTGGGCGACATGGTTTGCACAAGATCGCGCTATTGAGCCCGTGCAGAAACGGCTCCAGGGATAATTTACTGTTCTGGTGAAAGCAATCGGCTTTGTGAAGTAAAATTGAGCGTGGCTGGACGACGAAAATTGTGTCGAGTGGCTTAATTCTTGTCGAGTCGTGTCAAAGCAGTCGCGCGGAAGATATCGTGCTTCAAAGAAATAGAAAGATCATCGTTGAATAGGATGGTTCAAAGATCATTAAGAGTTTGCCAACGGCGAGAATGGGTGTTAGTTCCTGGTCCTTGGTCGACATTCAAGGTCAATTGAATTCTACAGTACCAGAAATTCGAGAAGAGCTCAGAGCCAAGAGAGAAACCCTGTGCTTCCTGCTTGATCCCTGGAGATGCTCATGGAAGCTGCATCAAGCTCGCTCGTCGAGTCCGGAGGGGAGTTAATTACCACTGCAAAGAGCCTAAGAGGCCAATTCTGCTCTCGTTGTTCCGCGCCCTTTAGAACACCACAGTGCCGACATTATGCGACCACAAACGACAATCCCAACCCCACTTTGGCGGGTGCAACGATGGCCGACTTGATGATGAGGTCTAATCGGACCGACTGACATGCGTTAACAAATAGTTAGTCAAGGGCTTGATGGTGAGGATTCGCATTGCCCACGCAAGAGATATGGCATCTACAGAACTCCCAGAGTCCATTCTCATCGTTGGGGGCGGTGTCTTTGGCTGTAACTATGCACCCGGCCTTCCCCTGTTGAATTGACTGTGAAGAACTCACCCTTCTTTCCTTAGTATCAACGGCCCTTGCGCTCACTCGCAGGCACACCGGAAAGATCACCCTCGTCGAGTCCTCCCCTACGATACCCAACCCGCATGGCTCGTCCGTTGATGCATCCCGTATAATCCGTGCTGACTACGCCAACGGTGCCTACGCCCGCCTCGCCACGGCGGCTATCAAACAATGGCAAACCACGCAATGGGGCTATGAAGGCCGATATACTCGCAATGGTTTAGTGTTGGTCTCTTCCGGCGATGCAGAGGGCAGCCAATACGTCAAGCGAAGTTATGAGAATGTCAAGGCGTTGGACAAGAGCGGAAAAAAAGTTGAGTCTTTACCAACGAAAAGGGACGTGGAGAATGTGATCCCGGGCTATGGTATGGGCGAAACCGTTGCCGGCGGATATGTGAATTGGGGTTCTGGCTGGGGTGACGCCGAAGCATCGGTGCGATTCGCAAAGCAGCTCCTCGACCAGACAAACAGAGTCGATTTCAGAACCGGCACCGTCAAACGCCTCCTCTTAACCCCAGAGCAGCCAGCCGCAAAACGCAAAGTAACCGGCGTTGAACTCGCCGACTCCACCACCATCACCGCAGACCTCGTCATCCTCGCGACCGGCGCATGGACAGGCCGGATCGTGGATCTTCGCGGCCGCGCCGATGCCACCGGCCAGGCCCTGGCCTACATCAGAATCACCGACGAGGAACAATCCCAACTCGCAAACATGCCTACAATCCTCAACTTCACCACAGGAATGTTCATCATCCCGCCGCGCAACAACCTGCTCAAAATCGCCCGCCACGCCTACGGCTATCGGAACCCCAAACGCTTTCCCAACCCCTCATCCAACAAGGGAACCATAGAAGCCAGCCTCCCCGAAAACGGCCTGCCTATCCCCCCCGAGGGCGAACACGCATGTCGAACCGCCCTGCGAGAAATGCTCCCCGCATTCGCAAACAGGCCCTTTGTGAAAACGCGCATATGCTGGTATTCAGATACGTACGTCTTGCACCTCCCCCTCCACCCCCTTTGCCTCTTCCAATCGTAGTCACCCTCAACAAAACGACACACCATCCTGACACTCAAAGGAATATATGACAATCAGTCCAAGAGGTGACTTCCTAATCACCCACCATCCCTCATTCAACTCTCTCTTCCTCGCCACGGGCGGAAGCGGCCATGCATTCAAGTTCCTCCCCGTGATCGGAGATAAAGTCGTCGACGCGCTTGAAGGGAAGCTTGATCCTGAACTAAAGGAGCTCTGGTCGTGGCCGGAGCTTCTTCATCCCGTTGGTGCGAATGGTGAAGTTCCTGTTTTTTGGACAGAAGATGGAAGTCGCTCTGGCCCCAAAGGGATGATCTTAGCGGAGGAATTGGCAAAAGGTCAAGTGACGAGCAAGCTTTGATATAACGAAGGGGTATTTAGCTGCATCCTAGCAGTTCTCAGTTACCTGTGGACAAGTGTATGAATGATGAAGTTTTGTCTTTTTTCTCTTGCAGTATTTCCATTTTTTACTATCTAATAGGATAATACATCCTCCCATTGCACACGTAATAAGTGTTCAATCTGCAATTCAATGCGCGTGCACGCCCATTCACCTAGCCCTCCACAGTGAAAATCTGGACCCACCGCTTCAAATGCAAAAGGTCGAGGAAGAGAAGAACAATAACATGAGCATTCAACAGCTCATGTGTCAAATTAGCAGACGGCCAGAAAGTACCACCATCCCCTATGCGCCGGTGCACCCATCCCAAACCAGCGGAGACCCGCGATTTGTCTAATTTCAAGTTGATGGAAAATTAAGATACGCCGCTTTTTGGAATCCGGACTCTGTAACACAAAACAATCGCTATAACGCCATAAAAATGCGGTTGTGACGGCAGAAATATTGGAGGAAAGAGAATTCCGCCTGTCAGATGCATTATGGTAAGCACAAATGGTGTGCGGGACCACGTCGGACGAAGGGAGGAAATATGTTAATACATTGAGACAACAGTGCAGGGCAGCTACTGATTGCTCGAAAGCGTGATTAAACTTTGCGGAAATCTAGCCAGTGGTTAGTTCAAGAAGTCCAAACGACGCTCAGTGAGAGTTTACCTGTCAGGACGGGATAGATCATTTCGAAGGCTTGATAAATTTCCTCTCGGACCTTAGCGCCTGTCAAGACGATCTTCCCGCTGACAAAAATAAGAAGTACGATTTTGGGTTTCATCATACGATAGATCAGGCCAGGGAACAGCTCAGGCTCGTACGAGCTGAAGTTGTGATGGCGACTGGCAAGACCTTCCAAACGGATGGAGAACTTGATATCGCAGGACCCAACAATGTTTTGGATCTTGAAATCAGTGAACTTGGCATTGAAACCCGAGTTTCTGGATGATACGAGCGTATTTTCTAGATGCCAATTTCGAGTCATCTTCAGACTTCGCTCCGGTAACGACCATCTTGCCAGAGGCAAAGATCAACGCAGTAGTCTTCGGCTCGCGAATACGCATGATAACGGCAGCAAAACGCTATTAGAAGTAAAGTTTGTTTAGCACAGATGACTAGATAATTCAAAGTCAAAAGGCACAAGTCAGTACCTTTGGGTTGTACTCTGCGTTTCGCGCATGCAGCGCGATGGTCTTCAAGTCCAGGCGACAGTCTAGATTGACCGTGGCGACAATGTTTCTTGAGAAAAGCATTGCTTTCAGCATTCTGGTGAACCAGAAAGGACAGACAATAGTGTAATACTCACTGCAACGTTGGTAAAAGGCCGCTCACGCCAGGTCCAGCTCCCGGGGTGGCAGCAGGGGTGGCGGGAGAAGCACCGTTTGCGCCCTGTTGTCCACCCGCCTGGCCATTGGTCATCCCATTTGGCTCTTTTTCGGAGGAAGGTGGGGTGAGGTCGCCGGCACCTCCTGGGAAGGACAAGGACGCTGGGGACGTGAATGCCTTTGCCTGTTGCGCAGTAGAAGGATGGGTAGTAAGAGAATCCATGGTCACTGTTGTCAAGTCCGAGACTGTAAACGAGACCGTTGGTATGATCTGGGCGCGATGCGTAGCAACTCAGATCAGAGCAGTCTGCAAATGGCGGTTAGATCCTGCTGGCTCAAAACAAGAAACTTGAGAAAGGGAGAGTTGTTTTTATTTTGCTGTTGAGTGTAGCGCGAGCAACGGAAATTGCCCAGAGAATTGCGCTAAGGAATCGCGCTAAGGGGCTGCGCTAAAGAACAGAACGTGACCAGGAACACTTCGGCATGCGCTTCACTTACCACTCTGTGGAAGATGAACAACTGAATGTCTCCTCCAAAAACTGACCGTCAATGAGATTTGTGAAGATGCTTCACTGCAAAGATTCACCTTGCTTCCACTTCAGTGTCCAAGACAACAAGAACAAACTTGGGTCTTCCAGCGACTATTCCCGATGTTCGACGTGACGATGCGACAATGATGGCCTAGTTCGATGATGACGAGAGGTTCTGGTAGAAAGTCCCCCAAAAGTCAAATCACTTGAGATCGACTGCAAGGCTGAAGCCGGCGTGAACAAGGCGACGGTTGGGAATCCCGAAAATGAGGGCCCGCGCGACGGCAGCAGGGTCAAAAGCAGCAAGCGCGCGCGCGTGTATCAAAAGGAGAGACGTTGGGAGACACGACGGTCGACGGGCGCCGGGTGTCCCTTGAGATATCTACCGGAAGAAAGGAACGGAAGGGAAAGACACAGAAAGCGAGATGCACGAATCAACAGCAGCCCCTATGTACTGGATGGGAGCTCTGCCAGAGGCAATAAGTATATGTGTTTTTGAATTGAATTCTTTTCTTCTCCATGCGACATTAAAAGACACTTGAGCCCAAAAAGGAAAAGAAGACTAACAAGGAACTAAGTACCGCAGGGCCTGGCGTCGACGGAGAGAGATGTCCCCGGCTCTCGATCCCTCTTGATCGATGAAAAAGAAATAAAGAGGAAAAAAAAAAGGCTTTCTTCTTACTAGTACAGGTGGGATCGCGCAGATCGAGGGACGGGAAGAGGGGGATGATGCGGAGGTTGACGTTCCAGACGGTGCCAAGACCAGGACAGAATCCCAAAATGAGCGCCAGGGCGAAAATGGAGTGGGAAAAGGCCTGTTTATATACCCGTGACTCATCCTGGCTGATGTGGCCACATCCGCGCCTTATGCACACTCCGCGCACGGCCGCTGCTTTGCCGTTTTGTCCAGAATCCCGCCGGGCCGCGCGCTGATTGGCCGGCCCGGAGCTTGCCTGCAGCGTCATCCTGGAACCGGAGGTGCTCCACCCAAGCTCGCTCTTTCCCTGGATCGTGGCCGACGCCGCCTCACCAAGCGCCACTGTGTCCAATCACCGCGCCCGCTGCCTTCTTGGCCTGGTTCTGGCTGCGGACTCGCCACCCCTTGTTGCGAGTTGGGAAGGCCCGCCAGAGTCAAAGCCCTCGCGCGGTGCGTGCCGATAAGCCGCTTGTCGCTCCCTTCCCCCTTTTCACATGAAAAAGTTTTCACGCGTCTTTTTGCCTTCCACCCCGTTCCGCGTCCGCGCTCGACACTCCTTTGCCATACCGCGTCGGGGAATCCGTTGCTTTCGCGCTTTTATCTGGAGGGGAATCATCATGGGATGGGTGATGGCTTGAAATCACAATCTTCCTTTCTTTTTTCTTTCTCGAAAGATGTGATCCCGGCATTCATGGGAGGAACCGAGCTCATCCGCAGCACTCACCGCCGCTCAGAAATGGAAACCTACCCAGAAACAAAGAACAAACACACCCTCACTTAATATGTCACCGTCATGGACGGAGGCGTGGCGCTGAATTCTGCCAATCTCTCTCCCAGGAAATTTTTGAGCGTCGCGTTGCAGTTTGCTTCGCTGCAGCCTGCTCTGTACCCCCTCCCCTCGACCACAGATTCCATCCAAAATCATGCAGCCTAAATTGTGATGAGAGAGGGCAGGGGCCCTCTCGCAGATTTGCGACTTGGCCTTGCGAATGCTGATATCGCATTCATTATTGGCCTAAATGACGTGACTCGGGGGCTTTGCCAAGATCAGATCGATATCCCTGGGGGCGATTTCGAAGGCAACACAAGGATCCGCGATTTGCATGTCTCTCCAAAGCACTCTGTTATCGGTGAAATAATGGGGTTGAAATGAAGGCAGCACTATTTCCCCAACTTTTTCTCTTTTTCTTTTTGACGAAATTTTGGCGCTTTTTCATCGTTGCACGGCGTTCTCTTCCCTGCATCAGATATTTTTGTCCTGGTGTCCACAGTGCACTTCCAAACTGCATCGTCCTGTCACATTCACAGCTCACAGTGATTCGACAGTAGAGATCATTCCTTGCTCATCTTAACTCTGTACTCTTAGCACATTTCACACAGAAGCTTCCCACCAAATGTAGATCAGGCACCCGAAATCTCCATCTCCTGGCGGCCTATCGGGAAAATTAGTTGGGGCGAAGCATTTTCACGTGACTGACTACGGCCGCTGACATCAGCTCCTATTTTATTGGCTGGGAGCGGCCCCTCGGCTGGCCTCGGCGCCCGCCTCCGTTTGACCTTGGCTAAACTGAATGACGGAGCGAAAAACGACGACTTTCGGAGGTCTGCACCGCGCACCAGCAAAGTTCATCTTTTCTCCTTGGACGCTGTTCGTTTCCCTCATTGGCATGCGGCAGTGAATACTCGAGCACACCGTGTCTTCATACCCTCCAAAACAATCGCACAGATGGCTTCAAAATCTGCCATTTTACCTCTGTTGAGGCGGGAGGTCCTCCCGGCATCCGCACGGTCATGGACAAAGGCTGCATCGACGAATTGTGGCCCTCGCTATTCCACACGGGTTGCGGAGGTCGCCCAGTCTTCGACAAAGAGGATGCGACGGAAGGACCTCTGGGCTCAACCCGCGGTCAACGGTCAGAGGCGGAACCTGTCTGGAACGGCCGCCAGACGAAATGCGGCTGCTAGCGAGGAGGCGTTCGATCCGTCGCAAATTGAGAGAGAGTCGGATAATGTCGATGTGTGCATCGTTGGAGGAGGTGTGTTGCTGTTGTGCCCGTTATTATCGCATCGTGCTGACATGTTTTTCCAGGTCCCGCTGGTCTTGCGGCCGCGATAAAACTCAAGCAGCTTGCAAACGAAGCCGGCAACGAAGACTTTCGTGTTTTGGTGTTGGAAAAGGCCGGCGAAATTGGAGATCACATCGTGTCAGGCAATGTCTTACAGCCCAGCGCAATGAACGAGCTCCTCCCCGACTGGCTGTCCGAAGACAATCCATCGCGGTTCGAGCATGCCACGCCCGCAAAGCAGGACAGAATGCGCTTTCTCACTCAAAATTCAACGTTCTGGCTCCCAGAGCCGCCGCAAATGAATAACCATGGTAACTACATTCTCAGCTTGAGCCAGCTTTGCAAGTGGCTTGGTGAGCGCGCGGAGGAATTGGGTGTTGAGATATATCCTGGTTTTGCTGCAAGTGAATTGCTTTACAAGCCTGATGGGTCCGTAAAGGGTGTGGCCACAAACGATATGGGCATTGGGCGTAACGGACAACCAAAGGATTCGTTCCAGCGGGGGATGGAGTTTCATGCTAGGGTAACGTTGCTCGGAGAAGGATGTCATGGAAGTTTGACGAAACAAGTTGTCAAAAAATTCGATCTACGACGAGATTGCCAACCACAAACCTACGGTCTCGGGATCAAAGAGGTCTGGGAAGTGAAGCCCGAAAATTTCCGGAAAGGTGAAATCACCCATTCAATGGGATACCCACTACCATCAGACACCTACGGTGGTTCTTTTATGTACCACTTCGGAGACAATCTGGTGGCTGTGGGGTTGGTCGTCGGCCTTGACTATCCCAACCCGTGGTTGTCGCCCTATGGTGAATTCCAGAAATTGAAACACCACCCCTTGTTTAAGTCAGTGTTGGAAGGAGGAAAATGTATCGCGTACGCGGGCCGTGCTTTGGTTGAAGGCGGGTTGCAATCAGTGCCAAAATGTGCGTTCCCTGGTGGAGCGCTCATTGGGGATAGTGCTGGTTTCATGAACGTTCCCAAGGTCAAAGGTACCCATACCTCCATGCTCTCAGGGATGTTGGCGGCAAAAGCGACGTTTAAAGCCCTATCAGGAACAGAAGACACGGGAAGCGTGTTCCTCTATGAGTATGAAGACGCTTTGAGAGAATCTCCGATCTGGAAAGAGCTTAACGAGGTACGAAATATGCGCCCATCATTTGGCACTGCGCTCGGTCTGTACGGCGGTATTTTGTATTCGGGCCTAGAAGCATATCTGTTCAAGGGAAGGGTTCCCTGGACCTTTAACCATCATTCAACGGACCCTGCTGCCACAAAACCCGCATCAGAGTGTCCAAAGATTGATTACCCAAAGCCCGATGGCGTGCTTAGTTTTGATATCATGACTAGTGTCAACCGCACGGGGACAAATCATGAAGAGGACCAGCCAGTCCACTTGCAAGTAGAAGACTGGGACAAGCACACAGATGCGGCGTGGCCCAAATACCAGGGCGTGGAAAACAGATTCTGCCCTGCCGGTGTTTACGAATACATCGAGGATCCATCGAAGCCTCACGGGGTGAGGTTCCAGATCAACGCGCAAAAGTGAGTTATACTCTCCCTTCAACGGTCCCTGCGGACCGCATCCCTCACTGTACACGTTTTCTGACCTTTTTTTGCTTCTTTTACAGCTGCATCCACTGCAAGACGTGCGATATCAAAGTTCCCACCCAAGATATCAATTGGCAAACGCCTCAAGGAGGCGAGGGGCCCAAATACTCTCTCACTTAGGAAACCCGCATGGATGTCTGTTTACGCGATTCTGTATATAACATTGATCCACTGCTTCTCTGGCGCTTCGCATGCCGGAGTCAGCATGTTCGGCTGGTAGGCCTTGTGGAAAAGCCTGCCAAAGTTCATATCATCATTGGTGGCCCTGAAACTCGATTCGAGCATCAGGGTGGGCGGAATTGTACTCTATATGTAGATGAGCATTTCAGATACCAAAATTGCAAGCAACTTTAGATTACATGCTAGCTCCATGGTCGATAATTCCCATCTCTGCGCGAATAAACGTGAACCTCAGTCGGGGAGCAACGGAATGTGCAGGAGACAACGGGCCGCTTGATGTGGTTTAGTGGACGCACGTGGACAGCACTAAAAGTGAGGCTGTGGATTTCGGCGCCTCCATTGAATTCACGACAATCCATCCCTCCACCAACCTCACAACACTCCCAATCCTCAACGGCGACGACACCTGGATCCGTCGCAAGCTTATCCGGGATCTCATCTCTTTCCGCATCCATCTCTGGAGGGCGCGAGTCTATATTAAAGTCGAGAAGAATCCCTCCATTCCTGGGCGAACTCTCATCCCGTTTTTGGAAGAAAGACCGTTTTGTCCCTTTGTCCCCCTCCTCAGGAACGCACAGCTTCTTGTTGTCAGCCTGCCCACCATGAGTGAAGTCTCGTCGACGCGTCTCTATCTCGGCAATCTGCCCCGAAATGGTATGCTGGTTCTACATCCTTTTCCTCCTCGCCTTCTGTGGTCCAGATAAAATGTGGCCCTCTGTTACCCCAGAACACACAAAACACACTTCTCTTCCTCCTTCATGTACTGGACATCTGGATATATCTTCCTTGCCCCGAGACAGGGGAAAGGATCGCATGAAAAGCATGGGAAAATTCAAGTCGGAAATCACAATTGAGTTCGGCCTGTTCAGACCTGTCTAAAATTCGTTTTTCCAAACAAATCAATACATCATGGACCTGGCTTGACCCATTCTTGGATTTTTCGTTTGGCCGCGAGAGGCTGACGCACAAGGGCATCACGTTTGCCTGGACTTTGTCTTTTCCAGTCACCAAGCAGGACGTCGAAGAACACTTCAACCAGCACGGGTCTGGAAAAATCACGGATATCAAACTCATGAATGGTTTCGGTTTCATCGAATATGAAGATGCTATGGATGCGCGGGATGTCGTTCCTGGTGAGGACACTGTTCTGCTTTTCCGCTGGTCTCCTCTTTCCACCACAGGCCAGGACCACATGGATTCCGAGTTTTACTGACTGAGCCTTTCGTCTTGCAGCTTTCCGTATGTGAACTCGCAAAACTTCCCTTGTGATGGACCAGACCTTTTCCGGGATTTTGACCTGTTATAACTCGCAGATGGAACCGACTTCAAGGGCTCAAGGCTCACCGTCCAATTTGCACGCGGCCCACGTCACAAGGAGACGTTCTCAGGACCCTCGGACCGTTCTAATGCTCCGCGCCCACGCCGTACTATTTATCGTATGCAGATTTCTGGACTTCCAGAGACAAGTTGGCAGGTTAGATCAGTTTTGTTTTCCTTGTGGATCCGCCCGACTCGATTTCATACTTTTTCCTCCCTGAGATCCCTAGACCATTTCTTTCCCCCTCGACAAACCATCACAGCAAGCATGTCTTCGTCTTCATTTATGCGAGCTACGTGTGGATCTCATTTTCAATTTTGTTCATGATTTATTATATGTTTTGTATGAAGCTGGCCGTCAGTCACCATGGCTCTTTTCATACCCCCTCCGCCTAGACTTGCTTAACTGCTCTTGGTTGGGTACCCAATATCCCGCGATCACGCAGAGCGAATTCTATTTCTTGGCAACTGGAGAGGTATTCTTAGGATACAGAGATCTCGGGATTGGCTTCCACCCAACCTCTCGAAACTGTGGCCTTGCGGGACTTGCTACCATTGGAACGGGACTCACATGACTTGGTTTATTAGGACCTCAAAGATTTCGCCAGGCAGTCTGGCCTTGATGTTGTCTACTCGGAAACGCTTCGTGACCATGAAGGACGAGGGTAAGGCGACTTCTGAAACACCAAGGAACCAGTACAACTGACTATCCACGTAAAGATTTGTTGAGTTTGAGACCGGAGTTGATTTGAAGACTGCCGTCGAGAAACTGGATGGGCGTGAATTCAAAGGCTCCCGAGTGACTTGCACCCAGGACGTATGGACTCCCGGCCCCTCACCAAGGAATTCTGGTCTCATAATATTCTAGATCCAGGCGCCCGATGACCGCACCGCCCGTGATCCTTATCGCGCCCGGTCTCCCATGCGCCGTGGTGGTTATCCACCCGGGGATGATTACGACAGGCGTCCTCCGCGTGGCTACAGCCCTCGAGGACACTATCGTGAACGCTCTCCTCCACCTATGCGCCGCGACTATTACGAGCGTGATGGGTATGGTCGCCGCACTCCACCACCGCGTTCTCGTATGGACGATTATCCGCCACCTCGCCGGCCCTATGAGGACCCTTATGACTTCCGGCATCCGCCGCCGCGCCATTATGATGATCCGTACATGCAAGGTAGATACGGACGTCGGCCTATGAGCCCGCCTCCCAGAGGTGATTATGGAGGCTATGATCGTCGCGGTTACTGGTAGATATCCCTCCTCTACCCATTGTTCTCCAAAAAGAAAACGCCATCTCTGTCATCCCTGATTTTTCTGGTGGTTTTGCGTCCGGAAAATTCACGCGTCTGGGCCCTGATATCTATTACCTTAGAACGAACGCTCTGTAACTCGTCGCTGGTATCCTCCACTCCTACGGGCTAGAGCACCACGTATTCCCGGCGGTGACGACTGTGTTTATTCAGTTCCTGTTTACGACTAGAGATATCCATTGTATGCTCGCTTTATGATTGCCCTTTCGAGAATTCACCCCGGATCGGCGCCATCTGACCTAGCTACTCTTCGGTGAAGCCTGGAGGGAAGCGGTTCCGCCTGATACAGCTATCGTATGTCTACTTTGTTCCTTACCGTTTTACGCCCAAAATACCTTTCTGTTGTGTTTTTATGACTGCCTCCTCTTTCAAGTCTCCCTTTAATGTTTTGTTATTGAGTAATGAATTTGGAGGAATCTGTTCCTGTTATGTACTGCTTCATGTACTGGTTAGGTTACCCATGCAATAATGCAGCAATGCAGAGTCTTTAGCAGCTTATGAATGGCAACGTGCGCTCGTTTAAAATTCGTAATCAATATCGGGAAAACTGAGTAGAAGTAAAGGCGTTTTTAGCACCTAGGTGTCACCTGTACTCCATAGATGCACTGATTGATGGGGAACCCTCCCGTTTGACTTGCCCCACCAGAAACCATTGTGTTTGTGATTCCCACCATCAATCACGCAAACATCGAAAGCTGTCATCGGAGACCTTTTGCATCAGCAACAATGGACCCTCAATTGGATTATTTTGTTGATTATATCAATTTGCGGAATATCCGCTTCCCGCTACCCCTTGCATTCACGCCAGATGCTTGGAATCGGCCCAAGAAGCCACAGCCGGCTGTGATCTCACTCCGTGTTGCCGTTCCAAGATCTTTGATCAAAGTGGCTTCGGAAGTCGATGATACCCCTTCTACCTTGAACTACAGCGCTCTATACCGTAGGCTAGAGAGCGCGATACGTACAAGGGTTGCAAGCGCCACTGCTCCGGATGCCGGCGAAGATGGCAATTTATATCTAGGAGGTCTAATAGACTTGTGTGAAGAGGCTGCGAGGGCGGAGCAGGATGAGCTACTCTCTCGGTATGGGATGGAGCGGGCGGAATGTTTGAGCGTGGAGACGGTTTTGTATTTCCCAAAAGCTGTATTACGGGCGGCTGGGGGATTGAGGTGTGTGGGTTCTAGCACTGGGCGTGGCCGGGAAAAAAGGGAGTGTACGATTGAAAATATACGGTGCTACTGTATTATCGGCATCAACGAGCATGAGAGGCTCGAGAAACAGGCTGTTGATATCACGTTGGTTTTCAACTTACGGGAGGGCAGACCGGATACATCCACTCTCCTTCAAAGGGATTATCCGAGGATTGCGAGGAGCGTTGCAGATGTAAGTTTTCTCTAAGCGGCACTATTGTTTAATCGGTATAGAAAGCAGCGTGATATTTGTGCTAGGTGGGCTGACTTGCGTCCCATTTACTCAGGCGGTCGACGCGTCGGCTTTCAAGACGGTCGAGGCTCTCGCAACGGAGGTCGCTCGGATAGTCATTGTCGATTTCCACTTTGCTGAGCTGACGGTCCGGGCCGAAAAGCCGAGCGCGTTGGCTTTTGTGGAACATTCGGGCGTGGAGATGACAAGGACTGCCGACTACTTTGCCATTGAGAAGAAAGGGCATGAAACATCCATGGAGGGATAGAGCAATATATCCCAGCCAGCTCATCGTGGAATGGGGACGGCCCCGGTGGGGTGGGGGGGACGAAGGCTCGATGGAGATGCTACATCCTCCATCAAGACACTTTCATCGAATATCCGCGCTCATGACCTCTGCTGGCTCGAACATTCATCCATGTCGCCATTCATTACAGACCAGCGCGTTCTCAGCTCATTTTCCCAAAGTGACCCTCAATGTATCACACCCTCCATTACGATCACTCTCAGAACCGGTCTGGGACACCAAATGATCATCTCGGACCTTCACATTAACAAATTGGGATTTTCTACCGATATCCCGTCGTACACAGCCTCTATCTATTCGACGACGACTGGGTTACATAATCAACCAAGTTAGCCGCTTAGCGACGGCGTCTATTCCAAAAGCGGTTTAGCGGGCTCTGCTGGCCAATGGCGGGGCTCCCTTTCTAATTGGGCAGTTTGAGGTCAAGTTTGGGTTATTTTCGGACCATCGCTTCGTCTCCTTCCACAGACCATTAGTTTCATCATTTTGACGTCGAAACGATCGTTTTTTTCCTGCAGTGTTAGGAGCATCGAATTTGGCATCGCCATTATTACATTGAGTCGAGGGACATATATATCTCGTCACCGTTATCTATGGGCTTACGCGCACCAATCTCACATCCGTCAAAGATCACCGTGCTCCCAGGGCGCCTTTCCTCCGTTGCTTTCTTCAATACACTCCTCACCAAGGACATTTCTGCATTCCCGATTGTGTATCTCGGAGACGGCGTGCCAGGACCAGCCGCTGACAACGTGGTTTGGCTACCGGTGCAAAGTCCGTCCTGAATAGGGCGGACGGTAATCTAAGACGGGGCCGGGCTGCAGCACGGCTTCTGTCGAGAAAATCATTTGTCATTTAGGTATCATTCCAAAAGGCGCCGTATGGTGATGACCGTTCTTTTTTTCGTGTCTGTACTTTATACCCCAGTTTTCAATATAGATCCGCTTTGATTCAGCACAAAGAATCACCTAGTTTTGCTTGATCTGTTTCTCGCTCCGCGTTCCATGTGAAGCCAATATATACATTCAACTACCCGTTCAGTTTCACTACTTGCGCTGCGACTGCAAGTTTCGACCGCTCTGAGCCAGCCAGGGCACGAGCGGGGTGTTGTTTCGTTTGACGCGAGCGGAAGCATTATGGCTTCGGGAGCGTGGACTCTGGAAGAACTCACCGTATCCGACGTTTTTGCCCCTCAAACGGCGGAAAATCTTGAACTGTCTGAGCCGTTTCCTCCCAAGCAGGCGGAACAGATCGCACCACATGACAATGGAGGTTCAAGCACCGGGTTCCGGATGACGGCGGAAGTCAGCCCAACTCGGAACCGTGGGAAGGGCTTAAACTTGGGAAACAATGGAAATGCGACCCAAGCCGTAGGAAATTCCAAGAAGAAAAAGAAGAATAAAAGGCGTCAGAATCCAGGAGTTCCTCCAGAGCCGTTTATTCCTTCATCCACTGCCAAGTGCTCCAGCACGGATCCCTCCATCATGTCTAAAGGATTTTCCCCGCGGCTCCTCCCGCTTCATGGTCCTGGAAAAAGCCCAGCGCTCCGGCCTACTACGCCAAACGGAGGAATCAGCGCGCTGAAAATGCAGCTAGATGCGCTCAATCTCACCAAGTGTCAGCCGCCATCAAGCAATGCAAGTGTTTTGGGTTCCGAAACTGAAACCAGCTGCGCCAGTGTGATCTCTGATAGTGATCAGACTGAGACATATGAAGTGCACTAGAGATGACTTCGTTAGCTGTGATGGCCGATGGG